TCTGAGGCTGGATTTGAATTCAGGAAGATGAATTGATGGTAAAATTGGTGGATCTCTAAATCACCTCAGTCTCCTGTTGTTAGAGGCTGTCCTAAAAATGCAGAATAAAATTACTATCCCCTGCAGCAGACTTTCTCATAAATGCTCACTGCCTAATGTCAACATCTTCATGCCTGGATGCAGCTCCTAGTTTCTGCACTACCATGGAATGCAATTACCACACATTCCTGCATGCTGCTGACACAGAATTTGGATGGGTGGGGAGTTTGGGAAAAGAGAGCCTTAGCATTGCTGGAGTCAATGAGGCTTAGAGGTGGGTATGAATTGTATGAACACATCTGACAGCCATTTGGCAAGAGAAGTACAGTATTTAATAGCATGAAGCAAACTACTCTTTCCAACCACTAGTTCCATTGCTCATGGATACACATGAGCACAAAGCCGACCTGGGCTGTCCCTTCATGGGCATCCCTTTGGACCACTTTGTTGTTACGGTTCAGTTGTTTTTTCATTCCAACTCTTTGTGACCCCATTTGGGGTTTTCTTGGCAAAGATACTGGAATGGTTTGACACTTTCTTTTCCAGCTAATTTTACAGATGAGAAAGCTGAGGCAGAAGGGTTAAATGACTTGCCTAGGGTCACACTGCTAGAAAGTGTGATGGCTGATATTTATATAGCTCTTTAAAGTTTCAAAGACACACACACAACAGCCTTGGGAAAAACATGCTACAGGGATTATTATGCCCATTTTACAGATAAGGAAGCTGAGCCCCAAAGAGGTTTCAATAACTTCTGCATGGCCATGCAGCTAGGAAGCCAAGAAGGGGGTAGAATCATCAGTTCATATGAAGGGGTTGGCCTTGGAAAGAAGGGGCACCTCATTACCATAGATTTCAGGAAAGGAGGAAAGAGTGGGAGATGATGTCAAGGGGTTTTGAGATACAGGAGAAGGGGAGAAGAGGAAGCTATAGAATCTCCTTAAGTAGTTCTACAGTGTCGTGCAGTAGGCTTACATTTCTAGTTAAAACCTTATCCCTAATAGTCTAGCCATATCAGCTTCTGTGAGCCTAGTCCTGATCTCTCCCTACCCATGCTCCTGTAGCACATGGTTTGTGCCACTTAAATGACACATAGCATCTTACCCTGTATTACAGTTAGGGGTGTGTGTGTGTGTGTGTGTGTGTGTGTGTGTGTGTGTGCGCGCGTGTATGTGTGTGCTCACGCGCGTTTGATTTCCGCTACTAGCTTGTAAGCTCCTTGGGGCAGGGACTGATTCTTGTATGAAAAGCTTATTTTTCTATAGCATTTTCCTCACAACTACTCTGAAAGGTAGGGAAGTGTAAATAATTTTTATTCTCACTTAACTGATAGCAAAACTGATACACAGAGGGGTTAAGTGATCACAACACACATTTAGTGTCAAAGCTAGGATTCTTGGTCTAGGATTTCTGGTACCTCTTTGCCACTGTCACATAACATTTGGCTTAAGGTCCTACAGGTCTTTGCAATGATTCAGGAGATAAAGATGTGTATGGGGGATGGGGAGAGGGGATTGGTGCTAGAAAATAGGAGAGAATCAGAACTGAGAGTCAAGGAGAGGCAAGAGAGAAAGCAGGCACATCTGCTGAGGCTGCTTCAGGAAGCCATATGCCCCAGAGATACCAATGGATATAGAGAGAGTGGCAGAATCTATCGTGCTTCAGCTGAAGAGAAACTGGCAGGGGTAGCAATCATAATCTCAGACAAAGAAAAATCTAAAATATATCTAATTAAAAGAGATAATCAGGGAAACTACATTATGCTAAATGGTACCATAGATGATGAAGTAATATCAAAAATTTTTACATTAAGTTTCTCTGATAAAGGCCTCATTTCTCAAATATGTATTAGTATAGAACTGAGTCAAATTTATAAAAATAAGAGCCATTCTCCAATTGATAAATGGTTAAGCATTATAAACGGGCAGTCTTCAGAAGAAGAAAGCAAAGATATATCTATATCTATATATGTATATATCTGTATCTATATCTATATATCTATATCTATATCTATATATAGTCATATAAAAATGTTTCAAATCACAATTGATTAGAGAAATGCAAATTAAAACAACAACAGATACTTGTATTGCTGAGAAGGGTTAAGTCTACCAATATTAGTCATCACACAACGTGGCCGTTACTGTGTACAACGTTCTCCTGGTTCTTCTCACTTCACTCAGCATCAGACCATATAAGTCTTTCCAGGTTTTTCTGAAGTCAGCCTGTTCATCATTTCTTATAGCACAATAGTATTCCATTACATTCATATATCACAACTTGTTTCGCCATTCCCAATTGATGAGCATTCCCTTAATTTCAAATTCTTTGGTACCACAAAAAGAGCTGCTATAAATATTTTTGTACTTGTGGGTCCTTTCCCCATCTGTATGATCTCTTTGGGGAGGAAATCTCTTTTAGCACATTGGGTAAACTCCTCAATGCTTTTCTCAGAGGATTTACAGGATCATTTAAATAAGAGTTACCTACAAGTTGGCATTGATGGTTGTGGTCCATGCCTTTGACAGTTGTGCCCACATTAAGGACAGTTGTGCCCACAAATTCATCAAAAGATCTTTTGAAATACTGAAGTATATTTCACCTTATTAGACTTGGCTCAATGTTCAAAGAAAAAATTCTTATCTTGTAGGTCATACAAAACAGGTGGCAGGATGGATTTGATTTGCAGTCTGTAGCTTGCCAACTTGGTGTAGACCACAAAAATCTTTTTGACTACAAACCCTATGCCTAGTACTTTGGTTTTTCCTCTCAGGTTTGTGCCATCTGCAAATCTGGTGAATATGCCAATTCTGCCTAATTCAGGTCACTAATAAAAATGTTCAACAGCACAGAGTCAAGTATAGATACAGGGGCACTCCACTTAAGACCTCCTTCTAAGATGAGTCATTAATGATTATTGGTGGGGTCTGGACATTGAAGCAATCCATAATGCTACTTCTGCACAAGTCTTTGGTTGTAATGTGCTGCATCCTTACTCATGCTTACAACATGACTCTCCATTGCTTTTATGTGATACCCAACTTCAATTCTTGGAAAATTGTGGTTTTCCATGACCTGAAGTCTTACAACAACACTGGAAGAAGGTGGTATTTAGGGGCAGCTAGGTGGTGCAGTGGATAGAGCTCCAGCCTTGGAGTCAAAAGGACCTCATTTCAAATCCGACCTCAGATACTTGACACTTATTAGCTGTGTGAGCCTGGGCAAGTCACTTAACCTAGAGTACCTTACATCCCCCCCCCAAAAAAAAAAGAAAAAAAAGAATGTTGGTATTCAAAAGATGAGTTTTTTGTTTCAGGATAAAGGTTGGGATCACTAATAAACTACATTTTTTTACAATCTCTTCCTCCTATTCAATTCTGGGCCCATTTCATTGTCCATTTTCTATGTGTGTGCAAGATCTAGACACAAATGGATAAGCTTTATGGGTTGACTTGTGATATTGGCTTGTGATATTGAAGAAACTGGGAATTTTTTGTTCACTTTTTTTCCTTTTGTGATTAGTTAGCATAATGTCATTCTGAGAAAGAAACATCTTGAAGAGTTCTTTATCTATAATTAATCAGTCAATAAGTCAATCAATAAGCACTTATTAAATGTCTATTTTGTGCGTAGCATAGCCAGGCATAGTGCTAAGCAGTGGGGATAGAAAGAAAGACAAGATAGTCTCTTTTTTTTTTTTGCTTGAAAAGGTTCAAATTTCTTTATTATCTTTGAGATAAAGTGCAAACTTTACACATTAGTATTTTTACTGTTCCACAATTCTGCTCCTACTTTTTAAAATTATCTATTTTATTTTTAATCTATGGAATAAAGCAAGCATTTCAATAAAATAGTATAGTAAAAATAAGATGATTGCACATAAAACTGTAAATCCATCATGTACAACTTGTTATTCCTTTTAAATATATAATAAAATTATCAAGTAAATTTCTTTTTGCCCTTCCCTCTACATTCTCACTCCAGAGAAAGCCACTCTTACAGTCTCCACTCTTAAGGAGCTCAAGTCTAATGGGGGATAAGACATGAAAACAACTATGTACATACAGGATATATGCAGGGTAGATTACAGACTGTCAATAGAAAGAAGGCACTACCACTAAAGGGGATCAAGAAACATTTTTCATAGATTGTGGAATTTTAACTGGTACTTCAAGGAAGTCAGGTGTGGAATTTTAACTGGTACTTGAAGCAAGTCAGGGAAGCCAGAAGGTGGAGATAAGGAGGGAGTATATTCCAGGCATGAGGAATATCCAGTGAAAATACTTGGAGAAGGGAGATGGAGTATTTATGAGGGAAAAGCAGTAAGGAGGTCACTGACACTATATTGCAGAGCATGTAAAGGCAGTGTGGGGAGGGGGAGAGTAGGGTATAAGACTGGAAAGGTAGGAAGGTGCCATATTATGAAGGGCTTTGAATGTCAAACATAGAATTTAATATTTTATCTTAGAGGTGATAGGGAATCATTGGAGTTTATTAAATAGGGGAGTGGGGGAGACATAGACAGATTCACACTTCAGAAAAATTGATAGATGAGTGGAAAGAAGTCTGAGACAGAGAGACCAACCAGCAGGCTATGTCAATAGTTTAGTCTTGAGGTGATAAGGATGAGAGAGAGGATTTGAAGAGTCAAGAATGATACCTAGGTAGCAAGCCTGAGTGACTGACAGGATGATAGTGTCCTTGATAGTAACAGGGAAACCTGAAAGAGAGGAGTGTTTGGGAAAAAAAATAATGAGTTCAGTTTTAGACCTGTTGACTTTAATATATCTATGGGACATTCAGTTCACGCTGTCTAATAAGCAGTTGGATATGGGAGACTGGAGGTCAGGAGAGAGGTAAAGTTAGATAAGTAGGTCTGAGAATCATCAGAATAGAGATAATAATTGAAACCATGGGAGCTGATGAGGTCACCATGTGAAGTAGTAGACAGGGAACGCAGAGGAGGGAAAACAGGACGGAGCCCTAAGGGAAACTCACCTTTGGAGGGTGTGATCTGGACAAAGATCCAACAAAGGAGACTGAGAAGGAGCAGTCAGACAGGTAGGAAGAGACTCTTTATTTCATTCAGACTGTGCAAGGGACAATCCTTCACGAGGATATCACATACTTTTGGCTCACTGCTGTATGCCTTGCTTGATATTATTGATCAGAGAGCTGTTGAAAAATAAAAGTGATTTCTATTTTTACATCCTTCAAGGAATTCTTCTATGATTAGGCTGTATGAATTGGACTACCTTGTTGCAGTAGTGTCCTTAAGGAGACATTCTGCTCTACCAAATCAATTTTTTATTGTTAAATGATAAATACAATGGGATCTTGTATGCTCTACAGCTTTCAGTCAATTATATTTCTAAAAAGATGTAATCTGCTATAGAAAATCACTTCAGAAAGGCTACTTGTTCCATTCTCATCTTTTTATCAAGGGGGCCCTCTATGTTTGCATAGATCATTCTTATAAAATCTTTATAGGGATGGGAAAGCAAACCTATGAAATTTTATTTATCTATATTCTTAGTCACCTTCTTATTGAATGTAGTAAGATCTGTATTCTTTTTTCCTATGAGCCTTTGGTGCTCTCTCGTCTTTCACATATCTTGAGAAATGATCATCCATAATTTCAAAATTATATTGCTTTTAGTATGAGACTTGTCTTTGTATATTTGGTCTATTCCAGTTTTTCCACTTTTTTGCTGTATTCTGCTACCTCAGGTTGGGCATATCTAGGACTATTAAGTTAGAGACCAAATGTAGTGACTCCACTGTTCTTAATGATATTGCATTTTTTATAAAAATCTTTCAATCTTTGTTATATTTCAATTACATTTTAAGAAATCTCTTGGGATAACAATTAGGATCTTTCCTCAAACTTTAAGCTTGATTTCCTTCTACTACTTCCCATTGCTTTATGCAATTACATTGCTCATAATATTTTACACCCCTTCTCTGAAAGCTTTTAAAATGTGTTTGTATTCCAAAATGGTATTGTCTTTCACAAGGTGATCAAACATCTGCAGACTGGGGCACCTTCCAGTATCTTCAACTCTATATTGTGGCAATATATGTGTGAGTATATATGTACACATATATATTTGTGTGTTTTTATGTGCGTGTATTAAATTTCTCTAGAAAATAATTTTAATCACAGTCAATATTTGTTCCTCCATTTTTCATTTTTTGGTATCAGGACCTTTTAAAAATAGATTACATTAGAGTTATTTTAACTGCCTGCTTTATATTTTTCTAATTTTTATTATTCTGGTTTTATACTAATTTTGATCTTTGCTCAAACAAGTTAGTGGCACAACTATACACAGACAGCTAATTTGGGAATGACTCCCACATTACTAACAAGTTACTTCCTATCGTAGTCTAGCAACTGTTTAAAAAGAGATAAATGTGATATGTATTGTCTTTCATGAAATCATGCTCACTTTGTTAACATCACTTCCTTTTCTCTCTTTTCAATAACTATCCCTTCAATAATGTGATCCAGAATTTAGCAAAGAATAGAAGTCAAGCTCACTGACGTATAGTTTACAGGCTCAATTCCCTTCCCCTCTTTTGAAATTGGAGTATTTCCCCTTCTCCAATTCTGTAGTTCCTCTAATATCTTCAATCTTTCAACAATCGCAAGATCATAGATTTAGAGCTGTAAGGGGGCATAGATGACATGTCCAACAGCCTCATTTTAAAAATGAAGAAATTCAGGTTCAGAGCAGGACTTGCCTAAGGTCACATAGGTAGTAAGCATCAGATAGAAGAGTCAAAGGTCCCCTGACTCTATGTCCAAAATCTTTTCTACTACAGGGCAGTGGTTGAGCAATCAATCACAATTAATTCTTTCAGTACCCTTGAATATAGTTCATCTGGTCTTAGTGACTTGAATTCATTTAGATTTTTTTTTAGTAACATTTCATTCTCCCTGATAACTTAGTGCCTCAAGCACTTACTGCGACCCTGGGCAAGTCACTTTACCTCCATCTGCCTTAGTTTTCTCATATTATTATGGAGAAATAACAGCATCTACTTCCCAGGGTTGCTTATAAGCATCAAGAAAGATAAAACTTGAAAAGCACTTAACACAGTGCCAGTCACATTCTTGTTTCCTCCCTTCCTTCCTCTGGGCTTAACAGGACAAATCTAAATACTCTTCCACATGACAGACCCTTCTGAGCCTCATATTCTCCATCTGTAAAATGAAGATAATATTTGAATAATCTAATTCACAGGGTTGTTGTAAGGAATGAATTGGATTACATACATATAGACATATATATGCATATATAAACCCAGAAAGTGTTACACATAAGTAATTCTGGAGTCCCCACATTAAAATGCAAACACTAGTCAACTCGGTCAGATGCCAATTTCTTCTTTGCAGTGAATTCGTTAGTTGGTCAATGCATCAAAAAGTTAGATGATTTGGACATGTGAAGACTCATTGGGAAATTAATATAATGTTATACTTACTAGGGAAAATACTAAGTGAATGAAAATAGGAGTCAAGAAGTCTACTTCTACTTCCTTGGCAACTTAGCATCAGGAAGTGGTAACATAATGGGCACACGGTGATGTACCATATGTACATCTTATCTCAGAACTTCCTGATTTCTAGGGAATAGCAGGTAGCCATAGGGTAACTACCAATCTGTCACGGTCAGTTGTAAATATAGAGAACATCCATAATCTATCCTCTATCAGTGTCTTCCTCTCAAACCTAGCAAAGGAAAGCTGTATACCTACCTAGCTATGAAATTCATCATGGGTTATAATGAGTTCAACAAGTAGATGAACAAAGAAATATTTGTAACATAGAAAATTACAAGCTTTAGTGAGGGTAAACTGATGTGGGTAGTGAGAGATTAAAAGAGGTCTAGGAGAAAGTTACAAAGTCCTCTTAAAGACAATTCTAGGTCTGAAGAGTGATCCAACAAGATCTGAGAATTCTATGATCCTGTGGTGCTGATAAGGAATTAATTCATTACACAACACAAGTGTGACCAGGGACACAGCACAAAGCCAGCTTTAAACACTGTCAATGGTTACATAAGGAGAAAAAGCTCACAGAATCGCAAATAAATGAGTCAGTCTTATTGTTCCACCTATCTAAAAAACAAATTTGATACAAAGTAAAAATATTTTTAGACAAGCATAAATGTATGGCTAATTGGTTTTTCAAGAGCATACTGTTTCCTGCCCTCTGATATGACACTGAAAAAAAGTATGCTTTTAGAGGGAGGAGGGGACAAATCCTTATGGTATTTACTTCATAGTAGTTACTTCTGAAAATGCTTATTAGAAAACATGAGAACACATGAAATATCACATAACACATAAAATCCACTTAATATTTTCTATGGGGCATTGTCCCAACTGGGTACCTCTTAAGGATAATTTAATAATGTAATGATGTCTTAATTGTAAACCCTAATAGCCTTTCATCAAGCATCATCCATCTTAACCTCTCTGTTATCATTGGCATTGCTGATTTATCTCTTCTCTTGGTTATTCTTTCCTTTCTGAATTTTCATAGCTATGTTCTCTTGACTCTCTTCCTAGCTGTCTGGTTGTTCCTTCTAAGTATCTTTTAAACATTAATCATCTACTTTATTCCAATTAACTGTGGGTATAACTCAATACTCTGTCCTAAGCCTTCATCTCTTTTCTCTCTATACTTCCTCACTTGGTGATCTCATCAGCTTCTGTTGGTTTAATTATCATCTTTAAGCAGACTATATCCAGATCTGTCTCTCTCCAGATCTCCAGTCCTATATCACATACTCCTTCTTAGACATTTTGAATTACTAGTCCTGTAGCTATTTCAAACTTACTGTGTTTTTCAAACTCAAAGCAGAAGTTATTATTGTTTCATCTATAATCCATTTCTTTTGCCTAACTTGCTTATTACAAAGAAACAACTAGTCACCCAAGTTCACAACCTTGGTGTCATTACTCACTTCATACATCCAGTCAGCTCCCAAATCTTATCATTTCTATCTGCACAATATCCCTTGTCTACTTCTCCTCTTTACAATTTACATATCTACCACCCCTAGGTCACATTTTTACTTCATAAGAACTCAATGTTACATGGCACATATGTACTAATACTTCATCTGTAAAGTGGGGATAATAAATGCTCTTACCTCCCAGGGTTGTTGTAAGTGCAATGATGCACTTTGCAGACTTTAAAGTGCCATATAAATGTTAGCTATTATTACTAATACTTCAATGGATCTGCGATCTCATCAATTTGGTTACTCTCTATAACAGTGCAACCTTCCATGCCTTCTTATTCTTGTCACTCTTCCATGTCCTACAATAAATCCTCCATATGGAGTCCACTCAATGTGCAAAGGCATTTCCTCTTGATTTCTTGATATTTCATGGGTAACAATGCATCATGAGAACTATCTGTCCATTATCCCTCATTATAGCTACATGGTCCAGAGGATATAAGGGACATGATAAAATGAAAGATAAAGTGAAACAATTCACTGCCTTTTCTGGTCCACACATATGTTTGATGACATCTTTTACACAGCTTTGTGCTGATAATTTACTATTTGTAATATGCTATATCCCATTCATGCCTACATGTCTCTCCATTGCCCTTTGTGTGATTCTCAATTTTGATTCCTCAGAAATAACAGTATTCCGTGATTTGCAAGGCATATAACATCACCAAAAGGATGCTTAGATTCTCAAATGGAGTGGTGATCTTGATGCAGTTTTGGGAGGTTCAGGAAACTCCCAAGGAGTGAAGTACAGCACAAGGTCATCTGGAATGAATTCACGGACTTAAACAATCTTAAAGTCAAGCTGGCAAAAGTTTATTATAATGCTAATATGGTGGGCAGAGCTCCTTAAGGGATTCTGCCCTGGTGGGCAGAGCTCCTTAGGGAACTTGCAACCTAGTAGGAATGATGCTAAAGCTTATATGGGAAAAGTTATGGATTATGTGCCAAGTATGCTAATTAAGTACTAACCTAACAACCTTAGTCAGAAGCATTATTTACTACTGGAAACTGGGGGATGAGGTTCCTAAGGGGTGTATTTTTAGTCTGTTATATCTGTGACAAGATAGCTTCGGGAGTTGATGTCTATAACTTGACCTCTGGATTGTATATAACTGTCGGAATCAATACATGATAGCTTTGTTGATATAAGATAGTACAAGGGAAATTCTACAGAGGTCAGCTTGTTCTTGTAACAGGGGGAGATAGTGAGATAGTTTACCTCACTCCGCCTATTCATGAGTTATTGCCAGAGATAGTGTCTTTGGGCTGGGGAGAAAACTGTTAGGGATAGTGTTTTGAGGCTAGGGAGAAATATGATCTTGGAAGTGGGGTCTGAACACAGGCACCCAAGCATCCCATCAATCTTACTGATGTGGATGTTTCCTTTAATAAAAAATTCCTCTTCCTCTACCCTATGTAGCCCTCTGACCTTCTTGCCAATGACTCTTTCCTCTATCCTTTTCCTGATTGGACAATGATTTCACCATTTTCATGCCTATTGGAAAGAACATGGAATATTGCTCTGCTCTGATCCATTATGCCCATTCCACCTTTCTCCATTCCCCCTTTCCCTAATGATGGTGGCCTAGGCTCTTCCCATCCTGCAGGGCAGACAATCCCCATGTAACCTAAGTCATGTCAAGTCAACAAATATTTATTAATTGTTTACTATGGTGACACAAATATAGGCCAAAAGAAAGACAGTCCCTGCCCTTAAAGGGCTTACATTCTAATGGAAGACAACACACACATGAAAAAGGAGTTGAAAAGGGTGGGAGATGCTCCCTGCATGAAAGCATGATTGTTAAGTATGGAAAATGAAGGATGCCTAGGTCCTTCCTCAAAACGGATGTTCCAGGAAGAATTCATTAACAGGAGAAGGAGGTCACAAGGGTAGGAGAAGGCATTAGAATCATGGTGGCCAAGTTTAGAGAGTAAGGAATGGCTGATCTTGGACCTTGCCATTCACCTTGCTATAGGCCTCCAGACCTTTTCATCAACCCTACCTACAGCTGAACCACCCTCCCCTATGTGTATGGCCAA